TAAAATATCTTTTCTGTTACGTCCTAGAATTCTGGCATTATTTTATTTCACTTAGCATCTTACCTTTTAACGCGCAATACAGCCGTCTATGATCCGCTCTTAGCATTTGTCCACCATTGTAATTATTTGAAGGTTATTTCCGTTTTCACGTATTTTGTGCAGTGCTGTGTACCTTTTTTTTTTTTTTTTTTTTTTTTTAAAATTTCTTTGCTTGTTTATTAAGTGAATTTTACGTATTAATTTTACTCTGCATTTTTGCTTAATCAAATTTGTGACCACTTATTTAACAGTATGTTTGTGTGACTTTACTACTAATATTTTCATTCATTCACTATTGAAATCAATTCGGTTAAAAGGCAAATAATAATAATAATGTTCTTAAAACTGCATCTGTTGCTTGTAAATCCTTCACTTTATTGTCCACAAAAGTGAGATTTACATTTTTCCGAATGGCAACACACTCAAATGAGAAGTGAATGAACTCACTGACAGTGGGCGACATGAAAGTGAATCAATGTTAAATCGTGTTTCACGACTAATTGCCTTTAGTTTGTAGTGATTTACTCAAAATGCCGTTTCGAGACTAATATCCCTATTTTTGAATGCTGAATTTGGGATCCGAATTCTTGTGCTACAGCCCAGACGATATAGTGGCTACAGGAGCCTCTTGCTGCACCGAAGTTCCCGGATTCGAACCCCGGAGAAGCCATGGATGTTTGTAAATGTATAGTATCTTTGAGGCATGGGAGCACTCTAAATATATGGCTAGCCGAAAGTCCGCTCTTTTGGTTTGGTGGAAGGAGAGAAGGGTGGGAGTCCCTCAGACCAACCCCGATGTGCTCTCCCTCAACGGGATTAAAAGTAGAAGTCCAACTTCTTTGAGGCTCTGGCAACCATTCTTCCATGAAATTCATGGACAAGATAACAAAAGCAATTCTTGCGCTATCTGTGATTATGCGGGCGAATGATCCAACCATATCAGGTGGGAATGCTTCTCCGCCGTATAAACTGGACTGAAATTGCTTACTTATTATAATACTTTGGATAATAACGACGTGGAAACTGCAGGATTGTGAAAATTGGATTAATTATTCAATTTCTGAAGAGGAATACGTGGCCATTTTAGGCGAAGTTATGATTTTGGAATAACACATCTCCACACTTTAAAATGACTAATACGACTTTTAATTAAATTCGTCCCAGTTCCGAAACGGATACTTAACCAAAACATTCGTCGAATACCACCAGAAGCTCAACAACAGACTTCAGGTACTCCGAGATAAGTGTGAGTTCTATGAAATTTCGCATGCCAAATAATCCTTTATCCCCAGTTAATGATATTAATACTTGAAACATAAAATCTCTGATAATTCTGATGATGATGCTGATGTAAATGAAACAGATCATGTTTACAAAAATGATTTGTAACGTGGGAACATCCCGCCTGTTTCTAATGCAATATATAATGTCCTGGAAACATGTTGCCTGTACCCACTACAATAGATAGCATCTTCAAAATATGCACCTGCACAACTATGTATTTCGCAATGTATATTATGTAATTCAATCCCTTTTACTTGAGCTAATTTAACGCTGAAAGGAAGGAGTACCGTTGATGCCGCCGCCGGTGGCAGTACTTATAGTGCTCACTGGAGTCACATTTTCCGTCACGACTCGAGGAATGATGCCAGAATGTTGTTAATTTTCTAGTTAGTGTGTGGGGCTAATACCTGCTTACTTAGGGTAAATATTAGGTGGCCCCCTCACTTCTACATAACATAATGTAAATGAAGTGTCCGTAAAACCCAACACACTGTTAAACCTACGAAAAGAGATTTAATTGGAAAAATATACTAAATTATACTTCTGTTAATAATAAATTTAGCAGATTAGATTCTAATGATAATAATGTACCCCAGACTGTGTCATATAATGTTATTTATAATGTGAATGTATCTGCTCCTGCACAGCAACCAACTCAAACTCAGATTGCTGTACCACCAATTGGGTTAGACCACCAGAAAATATAAATTTTAATATTTATATTAAAGCACTATCAGATATGACTACTGCTAAATTTCTTGGAAGAGTCACTAGAGAATTTTTGAAAAAACTTAAATAACCGAAATTCTTCTCAAAACTCCTGTGACCATCGTGAATTTTTTCAGAAAAGATCATTAAATATTATATTATCACTGCAAAGCACCAACAACCAATCAAAATAGTTACACGAGGGTACCAATCATAATGGAAGAAGAGAAAATTGTAGCATCCTTAACACAAATGTGTTTCACTGTGTACGAAAGTCCGGCAATTAACTAGGAATAGAACTCGAGAACCATTACCCCTGCATGTAGTATCTCTGTAATCAAATACAACTTCTACCTACTGATAATGTATGGATGAGATCTATAAATTAACTAGCGTCTCACTATTTTTGGTTAAAGTATTAGAAAATTATATGAATAGAAATCACATACCCAAGTGTCACAACTGCCAATGGTGGCACCATTCTTCTGATAACTGCTTTTCTGTGCCTCGTTGATGTAAGTGCGCCTGGTATCAATGAACTGAAAATTGCCTAAAAACGAGGCAAAATAGACCTGTCCTGTCTGTGTAAGTTGCTCTGAAAAACACGTAGCATTCTATATGGGTTGCTCAAAATACTCAAAGAGTAAGCCACAGAGAAAAATTCCTGCAAAAAATAATCAAGAAGCCAAACCAGCGCTTCGAATAGCAGTAAAAACAATTTCCATAAGCTAAATCAGAATTTGGATGTAGCATAGGAACCTGTTAATGTATTTGAATGAATATTAATAAAGGTAAAACTCATGCAAATGTTAATACTAAAACTTACTCTCAAGCCGCAAGTGGCAATAAAACTAACAGCAGTATTAATATTAGTACTTTCATTGGATTCTTCCACGCCATGAAAGAGTTAGAAAATGTTTTTGGACTTGGACAACTTCTAAGGGTAACCATGTAACTAACAAAAATATTAAAGAACTCCATGACGCTCAGTCACCAATAAATAAAATGTACACCCTTTTCTTATTTATCAGGAAGCAAACAATTTAATGCAAAATCATAATGGTAAATAGTACCTGTTGCTGTTAAAATTTATTCTCTTGCTCTTGTTGAAATTATTACCTTAAAATTATTTACTTAAATTTTTATTTACTTGTACCCACTACTGCTGCCTCACATTTTGTCATCCCTTATAAATCGTGGGGCAATGAAAAGGGTCTCCTTCCCCTACTTGCAAGTGAACTAACTCGCACTTATTCCAGCCAACCACCTTTCATCTGGATAAAAAGCCTCCTGCTCAACCAACAGGAAATCTTCCTGCCTACTGACTCCTTCTCGACGGCTAGCCTTTCGTCAGACGAGCTTCGACTTCCACTGCTGAAGCAACAAGTTACATCGACCTCCATGTTTTTTTTTCCTGCAGACCATCCTGAAATGCTAATAATTGCCTCCTGCAGCCTTTAATTTTTCAACTCCACTGAGAACTTCTCGTTTCATTATTAGTTGAATGCTCAAAATAAAGCAATACTTAGATGGAGACAGGGTTTCCTGCCAAGGCGTCCATAGAAACGAATATTTATTTGTTCACAGATATGACTAAGATTTTTTGTTTCAGAATACACAACCCAGAGATGCAGCGCGAGCGGGTGAAGTGCGAACCAAAATGCTAAAATACATGTTGGATCCACTAGAGATTCTTAAAATTTTAATGTCTTACCTCTAGCGAAATGACTCTTTTGATGCCGCTCAATTAAAAGTTAGTTGCAATTAAACTGAAAAAATTCTTTATAGATTTCGTTTTATTTGTAAATTTAACTATCATAAATACATTTCACGGCCAATTGAAATGCTTTCCACAGTTCAAACCTCGATATTTATAAATAACATAAAAAATGGCATATATAAGTTACTGAAAAAAACCTGAATCCTAGGTTTTATCAAAGTAGAATCCTAGGTTTTACCAAAGTAGAGTGGTAAAAGTCCGAAGTAGATTCGGACTTTACCAAGCTTATGCGATAAAATCTAGAAATTACCTACGCCTTCCGGTAAAAGCCCAAAACGAAGGATTTAAATCGACTCTGAATAAACCCAAGCACGCAAATTCCGTCGCGACACTTTTATGTTCCAGCTCTTTCTTATTTGCGTCAGTTTGTAGTCTAGCTTCGAGTGAATTCAAACAAGTGTAAGCGGCTACGATCTAAAACAGCAGCAGGTGGTTTCCATTTCAACATATTTTGCGTTTTTTATTTTGCTGAAATGAAATGAGTAATGTTATGCGGAAAACGTTTTACGATATTTTGTCTGAATCTGTAAGAAGTAAGCATGATCACACCTTTTATTTAACAAATGAAAAATACACTTCTTTAATAAACGACGGAAAAGAAGCAAAATTTTTTAAGCAAAAACAATCAGTTCATTACAAAAGGTTGAAATGCTATGAACAAAATGCTACAAAAGGTTGAAATTCTAAATATTAGAGGAAACAACAAGCTTATAGCACTGTGGATTTGATGAATAAACGAAATCGAAACTGATCAGCGAGAGCATTTCATAAGTGAAATAAATGCTTATTTTGCTTTTAAAAGAAACAGCATATTTATTTTTACAGTTTCCATTCTTGTTTGCAACATGTTACTCATTTTTTACATAAAATATAACAAGTTTTTAAGAAATAAAGCTTACGCAATGCTTATCAATGAACGCTCCAAGCAACGACGTTTTTAGCTCGATTCGTTGCTGCCACACGGCGAATCACAATAACTATTCAAAACATGGCATCATGTTGCCACTTAGGAAATCTTAATAATTATTACAGAAACGTTAAATTATGTTCCACTGCATTACTCCCCTCCAGTAACTGTATTACGATTTAAGAGATTCTGGTAGTGGAGTAATGTAGCGTAAGCTAACATTAGAATTAAAAATACTAAATACAAGAAATAAATATAATTAAACATATTCAGTAATAGAGGTTAGGAAATATATTCAACATTGTTACTAAAACGTAAAGGACGTTTTATTAGTCGTCCAGTTCGTGAGACTCGAGGTCGTTCATCATTGTTCTCAGATTTTAACAAAGTCTGAGTCTTTTTCTGGGTATCAGAAGTTTCTGGTTCCAGCCTTTGCTCGCCTGATACTAAACAATAGGCTGGCTTCAGCCTGTCAATCGAAATGTTTACTTCCTTACCTTTGATTTGTAACAAGAAGTATTTTTCCATTCTTTTAAGTACTTTGAAAGGTTTTCCATAATCTTCTAATGGTTCTAATGGTTTCTTGACTCTATCAGTTCTTAGGAAAACATGAGAACACACATTTAAATCTTTATGGACAAAAACTTTAGGAATCATTTTTCGCTGTACCGCAGAGAGCTTGAACAATTCCATTTGTTTTTGCAATTTATGCAAAAATATTTGAGGTGTCGTAGAAACTGTCGGTTTATCAAAAAATTCTCCAGAAAGTTTGATTCTTTTCCTGTAAACCATTTGTGCAATGGAATATCCAGAGTCTTCTTTTAAGGCTGCCCTAAGACCTAGAAGAATTGTTGGAATGGATTCCGACCACTTAATGGAATTATGACATTTGATAGCAGCTTTCAAAGTTCGATGAAATTTCTCAATTTTGCCGTTACACTATGGATGATAGGAAGTTGTGTGTTGAATTTTGACTCCACATATAATTGCCAAGGTTCGAAATAGTTCAGAAGTAAACTGTGCTCCACGATCCATAATAACTTGGTAAGCAACTCCAAAACGAGTGATGCAATGTTCATAAAAAGCTCTGGCAACGGTTTCTGCTGTTATGTCACGCAAAGGAATGGCTTCCATCCAACCAGTATAGCGATCAATGCAAGTCAAGCAATACACAAAATTATCAGATGATGAATAAGGACCTATTAAGTCAATGTGAACTATAGTAAAACTATATTAAACTGCTGATACGTTCCTAATCCAGACTTTGTATGACGTGAAACCTTATTTTTTTTACAACCAATACAGGCACGACTCCATGTTTGTATATCCTTTTTGATATTTGGCCAAATAAATTTGGACGTCATTTCTTTAACGGTCGACTTGATTCCTGGATGAGCGAGGCCATGGATTTGTTGAAATATATCCATTCTAAACTTCTTGGGTATAAATGGTCTAATGTTAGAAGGAAACGTATCACACCACAGATTTTTACCAGATGAAAGTAAATAACTTTTGAAATTTAATGTTTTATTTTGAGCTTGGAAATCTTGTAAATCTTTATCATGAACTTGTTTTTCAGCAATTTTATCATAATCAATGACTGAAATAGAGACATCGGCTATTCTTGATAACTGATCTGCGACAATGTTTTCACTTCCACTAATATGGCATATATTAGTAGAAAATTGAGATATGTATTGCAATTGGCGCATTTGTCTTGGTGATGCCTTTTCGCTCTTTTGTCTGAAAGCATAAACTAGTGGTTTATGATCCGTAAAAATTTTGAAATCGCAACCTTCTAAAATATGTTTAAAATGTTTCATTGCAAGATATATTCCCAGTAACTCGCGGTCATAAGTACTGTAATTTTTCTGAGTGCTATTTAATTTTTTTGAATAAAACGCTAAAGGTTTCCATGCTCCATTTTCAAACTGTTGGAGAACTGCACCAATAGCCCAATCAGATGCATCCGTCCATAGCGACAAGGGCAAATCTGAATTGGGATAACTTAAAAGAGCTACGTTTGCTAAATCCTATCCTGTTTACATTTTTCAAAGTTAAATATACCTTCATCTGACCATTTAATTTTTCTTCTACCTTTTTCTTGGCACCCTTTAGGTATTCATGAAGTATTGCTTGTGTCTTAGCAGCATCTTTCAGGAACGGTCGATAAAAATTAAGCATCCCTAAGAAAGTTCGCAAATCATGGATAGTCTCTGGTAATTTATAATTCAACTGCTTCGACTTTTTCAGGCAGAGGAAGAGATCCTTCCGGTGTTATAAGATATCCTAAAAATTCTAAGTTATCAACACCCATGATCGACTTAGAAATGTTGATTCTCAAACCGTATTTATCTAATCTATCGAAAACAAGTTTCAAGTGATGTCTGTGTTCTTCTTCTGAGGCAGAAGCAATTAATATGTCATCGAGATATGGAAAAGTAAAGTCCAAACCTTGAAATACTTCATGTATGAATCTTTGAAAAGTAGCTGGTGCATTTCGCAAACCGAAGCTCATTACACTAAATTCATAGATGCCAAATGGCATAATAATGGCGGTTTTCTGTTTGTCCTCTTCGGCTATAAGAATTTGGATATAGGCTTTGAAAAGATCAATTTTGGAAAATATTTTTTTGCCTTTTAAAATGTGGTTAAAATCATTAATCCTAGGGATAGGGCATCTGCCAGGAATAGTTATAGCATTAAGTCTTCGATAGTCTCCACAGGGACGAAACTTTCCATCTCTTATAGAGATTAAGTGCAGAGGAATAGCCCATGGAGATTTAGACTGATTATATTGTTTTCCAACATATACTGAAATTCTTGTTTGGCAATCTGTAACTTTTTACTGTCTAGCTGTCTTGGCTTGGAATACACCGGTTGACCTTCAGTTAATATGTGATGCTTAACATTTGATATCAAAAGATTAGGTTTTGTAATATTCGGATACTTGGATAACAGATCATGATATTTTAACTTATCATGCACTAAACTTACATCATTCAGTTTGGAGATGCATGTAATGTCACATTTAGTAGTAAGGTTAGTTACACCATCGATTAATCTTTTGTTGTTTAAATCAATTAATAACTTGAAATGGTCCAAAAATTCTGCTCCGATTATGCCTTTATTAATTTTGGCAATAATGAATGGCCATCGAAAAGCTCGACGAAGGCCAAGATCAAGCGTTACAATTTTACATAAGTGGGAATTTTTCATAAGTGGGAATTTCTGTGCCATTGGAGGCATATAATTTGAAGTCACTTTGAAGTATATCTTTTTTGTAGCAGGTAATAAACAAGCATCTGCGCCGGAATCAATTAGAAAATGCAAACCCGTGTGTTTGTCAGTCACAAATATTCGGTGTTTGCGGCCATCCTGAACATAACCTGAAGCAAAATCAGCCGCTAATTCCGCTGCTGGTTTAAGTTTTCCGACTTCTTTTGACCCCAAGAGAAATTAGGTTGACACTTTTCAGGAATGCATTTTGAGCCAAACATGTAATGGTAATAACAATGCTTTCCAATTTGGATTAAATCGTTTACATTTATTACTTCTACTCCGCTCTCTGTATCTACCGCTAGTACGATTCCGAGACCGAGATTGGCGAGAAACACTTAAAGTTTCTATTTGTTTTTCCAGAGACGAAATTTTAGCAGTAACTCATCAACCGAATTTAAATTTTTGCGAGAGGAATAAATTTCAGGCTTTGAATTCATTTCCATTATTTTGTCGGCCATTCAGGCTATTTTGTCTAACCCTTCATCGGAAACCAGTAAAATATTTTTTATCGAGTCAGGCATTTTTTTCTAACCACAATGTTTTGAGTACTTTATCTGAAACGTCATCAGTAGCGAGCGATCTCATTTTTTGAAGTAACTGACTGGGTTTCATATTCCCAAGGTCAAGGCCAGCGACTAAGCGCTTAATTCGCTTATTTTTGCTCTTTTGAATGTGTTTAACAGTCTTTCTTTAACTAAAGCATATATATTACCAAATGTTTTATCCGTAATTATATCACAAATAATTTCAACATATTTTGGCTCTAGTTGAGAAACTACGTAATTAAATTTGGTACTATCAACAGTTATGGCATTAATTTCGAAGTGTGCTTCTATTTGAAAAAACCAAATTTCAGGCCTTTTTTGGCCAAAAAGGAGGAATTTCCACACTCACCTTGCAAGTTTCCAGCGTTGGTGTTCCTTCCATAATCCAATGTTACGGTCACCAATCTTTTAATGTGGATTTGATGAATAAACGAAATCGAAACTAATCAGCCAGAGCATTTTATAAGTGAAATAAATGCTTATTTTGCTCTTAAAAGAAACAGCATATTTATTTTTACAGTTTCCATTCTTGTTTGCAACATGTTACTCATTTTTTACATAAAATATAACAAGTTTTTAAGAAATAAAGCTTACGCAACGCTTATCAATGAACGCTCCAAGCAACGACGTTTTTAGCTCGATTCGTTGGTGCCACACGGCGAATCGCAATAACTATTCAAAACATTGCATCATGTTGCCACTTAGGAAATCTTAATAATTATTATAGAAACGTTAAATTATGTTCCACTACAGCACCACTATCTGCAGAAAAGGTAGAAATCTTGTATTATGTTACAACTGATGAAATCTTCAACGTCATATCGCAGTTGGCCATGGTGGAAGGACCCGTATGATTACCCAAAATGCAATATTTCACATTTTAACTTTTTATTTCTTGTAGATTTTTAAAAATTAATTGTAAGACAGTTTCATCGACATAATCTTAAATCCTTCCTTATTTTGATCACTTTTACAATTTATGTTTAAAAAGATAAATTGCTTTTTAACTTTTTTGAGGCACACTGTATACAAATATACAATATATCTGCGAATGGAAAATCCTATCATAAGTAATCCCTCGTTTCGGGCTTTTACCAGAAGGCGTTTGTAACTCCTAAGTTTTACTGCAAAGGCTTTGTAAAAGGCCAAAATGGAATCATTTTAAAGCATACTTCGGACTTTTAGTGCTGTCACTTTTACTCAGAGTTACCTCATTAAAGATAATTATTTCTCAAGGAATTTTCGACCAACTTATGAGTCGTTTTCTATCTTTGACCAAAATCTTATTGATATCATAAAGAACTTAAACATATTTAAAAACAGTTAGCGTGTTCAACTTAAAATTATGGGACTAATAATCTCTTTAAGCTATATTTCAACTATTAGGAATAACTATTTTAAATTGTATACCAGAGTCCACGTTTGTATGAACTGTTGTCTGAGAAATAAATAATCAACATTAAATTTGAAATTAATATATTTTTCAATCTCGTTATGAAAAGAAAGTTTGTGTGACTCGTTCTATAAGATATATATAATCAAAAAAAATTTTGATAAATGAATGTTTCAATTTTATTATTTAAAAGAATGATTGTATAAACTTTTTTCTGAAAAATAAACAATGACAACTAAAATTGAGATTAATTTAGTCTCGTTATACAACAGTATATGTGAATTGTTCTAGAAAATAAATAAATAAATAATCACAATAAAAACTGAAATTAATATCTGTTGGATTCTCTCTATGCAATTTGTGCAAACTATCTTAAGAAAAATAAGTAATTACAACCAAAACTGTTGTTAATATATTTTTGAGTTTCATTATATTATACATGTTCAAGTAATTTGTTCTAGGAAAAATAAATAATCACAACCAAAACTGAGATTAATATATTTTTTTATTCATCCATTGCATGCAAGGTACAAAACGACAATGGCACACACGCTTTTTATTTTTTATTATTTATTTATTTATTTTCCCCTTTAAGGCAGAGAAAAATTCACTCGGTGTATTTGGGGGGGAGGGGCTACCGGGTCTGTATCCCGACCCCGCTGACAGGGGATATGAAAAGAGGGAGGGAGGGAAAAAGTTGAAATGAGATGCAAAAACCTCGCGCAGGCGATAAAGAATGGAAGAAAACTGACTTTTTTTTTTTTTTTTTTTTTTTTTTCCCCGAATAAAAGCGAAAGGGTGTAAAAGAAACGCTGGAAAAGATTTTTTTTTTTTTTTTTTTTTTTAATTTTCCAAGATAGGATGCAGATGTAGACATACGTATGTGTAGTTGTAGTAGATCACGTGATAGGTCGGGATCGAGCCCCGATGTAGTAGGGAGGTGAGGATTCGCTAAAATACAGCGTTATTTGAGCGATTTGTCTGTACTTATGTGCTTAGGGATTTCAAACGGTGGTGGAATTATGGTCGTTCACATTTTTTTTTTTTTTTTTCCTTTTCTTGTTCTATTTCACTGTTTTTTTTACCTGTGTGGGGAGGTAAGATGTTTCTACTCTGTTCGACAGAAAATTAGACTCCTCCAACTGTAATCATATCTTTTATTTCGTGTCATAAAAAAGAACTACTGCAAAGATATATATATCACATTTCTCTTTACCTAGTAAAGTGAGAAACTGAAAATATTTTGCTAAAGTTTTGCTGATTTGCTAGTCGACATCATAATCGTTCGTACTAGAAGTCAGTTTGAATTACAATTAACTCCCGATTAACCGGACCCGCTCTCGGAGCGATAACAAAATTATGATCACTAAGCATCAGCGTAAAACTAAACTGTCTTCGTAAAATACAAAAACCTCTAAGCTACTTTCTTAAGCTAGTTAGTACTCAATGACATTGTTTAACTTCTCTTGTAAATATTACTCATTAGAGCCTATTTGTTAGTGTCTATTAGATTTTATTATTTTTTTGTTTTACAATACTTTTTATTTAGAATACCGATTTAATTTATGTAACCAAATTATTATTTTATAACAATACTTAATTTTGTATATATTAATAATTCCTACATTCTACAAATAATATATAACTTTTCTATAATCGTTACATTTCTATTTTACGAATACTTTGAGCTTCGAAGAATTACCACTGAGGAGCTTGAAACCAGTACTGGCGAAATTTGACGACACATCTCAAAACTGCTATATTCCGTAACATGTAAATTTAATTCACCTAAATTTAATGTAATAAAATATAAAAGCACACAAATATGAAATTTTGCTTAATTTATGCCATCTATAAACGAATTGCTCTCCGCTTCTGTCATTTTAGCGAACTTTACTGTCGTATGCAAACAAACTTATGCAAATTTTAATAAATTTAGGCCAGTTACAATGAGTTTTTTTTTCCCATTTTAAACCAGTATCAGTAAATTTCTGACAAATTCAGTGAATATCACGACCAGTTTACAATTAATTTACATAAATTCTTGTTAATTTTGGCAAATTTCACTGTCACCTTTAAATGAATTTCAGAAATATTTCGCAATTTCAATAAATTTCACTACCAGTTTTAAAAGCATTTTTGTCAGTTTCCGTGAATTTTACCGCCATCTTTAAGCAAATTTTAGTAGATTTCTGACAATTTCAGTCAATAACTCTGTCACCTTTAAATGAATTTCAGTAAATTTTTGATAAATTAAGTCAATTTCAGTGTATTTCATTGAAAATTTAAAATGAATTTCAGCGAGTTTCCGTTTTAGTATGCCATCTTTAAGTGAATCTCGGAAATATTTTGACAATTTCAACGAATTTCACTATTCATTTTAAATAAATTTCAGTAAACTTTGTAAGGATTATGTTAATTTTATTTACAGTTAAATTCGAGTTAAACTTCCTTTCCTATCGCTTCTTAATTTCAACTTATTTAAACCGCTAATTTAAAATGGATTTCAGTTTATTTCCCTCAGTTTTAACGAACCTCAGTCCTATTATTTTAAACAAACATCAGAAAATATTTGACAATGTCAACGAATTTCGCTACAGGTTTTAAATGTATTTCAGTAAACTTCTGCCAGTTTTAGTTTATGTAAGTTTCAGTGGATTTAAGCGAATTTCTCTAACTTTCTGACACATTTAGTCAATTTCAGTCAGTTTCAAAACCAGTTTCAAATGATGTTTGGAAACTTCACCTGCGAGTTGGAGAAATCCCATTTTCACAGAACAGGGGAAAGAAGGCTTTTCAAATGATGGGCCTAGGAAAGTGTTGACTTATTTTAGTATCCGTCGAAGTAGAAACGCAGCACCATCGAAATACATAAAAATTAAATTGCATTCTTCTTTTAATTCTAACTACGACGATCTTCCCCCAGTCACCCCGACACCCCCATCCTCGACATGGCAGGGAGAGCGACGCGAAGCTGGGGAGAACGCCTTGTGAACTAGTTATATAAAACGCTGTATTCTATTACTTTGATGACTTTTCAAAGGGCTTCAATATATATTTAAGATCGCTTCTGTTTCTTCGAATGAGTTCGAACACTACAGAAAGAGGGGGTTCCTCTTTGCCCCCCCACAAAATTGAGCAGGGTTTGGATGGCGCAGGGTTGAGGAAAACTTTCAAAAATGGAGAAGGAAGTTCGATGAAAGTGGTTACTATGGAAACTAAAAGAGGAGGATTTCTTCGCTTGAAATTTGGAGGGGGGATGCTGATGATAGTAATTAGGCTTAACGAATACAGGACGATGGGAAATAAGTAGACTCAAAAGGTAATGGAATTTGATGAATGCTGAAAGATTCTTTTTTCGAAATATTTCATTTTAGAAGTTGAAAAAGAGTTTAATTAGAAGAAGGTTTATGCAAATTTCTTCATAATGTTTACGATATTTTACAAATTTATCGATGAAAGCGTTCTAGAAACTGACAAACAGCCTAAATAGGATAAATTTTAGGCTAAGGCTTTAACAAAATTCACGAAATTTTAATGGATTTATTCGGCGAAAACTTTTTAGAAGCTGAAAAAGGAGAAATCAGGAGAATTAAGGAAAGGAATTAATTAGGAAAAATTTTATCAGATTATTTTTTACGAAATGTTTACGATTTTTACAAATGTATTTAAAGAAAAAAATTGTAGAAGCTAAAAAAGGAGAAATCAGGAGAATTAATTGGGAGAAATTTTATCAGAATATTTTTTACAAATATATTTAGAGAAAAATTTTTAATAGCTGAAAAAGGAAAATTAAGGAAAGCAATTAATTAGCAAAAATTTTATTGGTATATTTTTTTAATTTTTAACCCAAATTTTACGAATTTTCATAAATTAATTAGCAGGAAATTTTTAGAAGATGAAAAAAGCTAAATTAGAAGAAATTTTATATGAATATCTTTTAATTTGTTTACCATATTTTTACAGCTTTATTTAACAAAGCATTTTTGGAAGCTGAGAAAAAGCTAAATTAGGAGAAAGTTCATGCGAATATTTCTCAAATTTTCTTACTAAATTTTTACAATTTCATTTATAGAAAATTTTTAGAAGCCGAAAAGGAGAGGAATTAGGAGAAATTTTAGAAAGAAAGATTTGTTCGGGAAATATCTAAATGTTACAAACTGACATTTATAGTTTTTTAGCTTGTTTCTAACAATCTCCTTCTCTATCTTAAAATAATTTCTCTTTAGTTCATTAGTTTAACCAATTTAAGTTGGCCTATATAACTTATTTTCGCCGTAGAAGGGCAGCCAAGTTTTACCCGCAAATATCGTTTGAAGAATGGCTCCATAATTCAAACTACCCGAGAAGGGGAACTGACGGAGATTGAAGAGAAGAGCACCAACCCTTTGTTTCTCTTTTGGGAGAAGGAGCAGGAAGATGTTTCCTCAACTCTGGCATCGCATCGTGGGCGGTAAAAGAGGACGACATCTTGAAATCCTCTAAATTCTCTACATACTACGGATTCCGCGGGCATACTGTGCTGCAGACGAGAAAATTTAGCTGCACAGCGATCGAAGTGCAAAGACAGAAAGTGTCGTCGGCGCTTAGCTATAACTGTAGCTTAATTTTGATTTGAAACTTTCTCTTATTTGATTTTTCGACTTCAGATAAAATACTACAAATATTACTCTTATTTGTTCTCTACCTTTTCCCCTTGACCCTAAGTTTGATTTTCCTTCCTGTAGGCAAAAGTACTTATCCCGTGCAAAAAACGATACTTGACTTATTTGTCTATACGCATTTTTCAAATCATATTTAACATGTAATATCTAACATGTAATAATAGAAGTCCTGTAGAAGTGCTCCTTATATTTTCAACAAACATTCATATCAGTTCTTTCACGAATTTCAGTTTCCTACCAAATACAATAATTCGTGTTTGTTTTTGCTTTTAAGTAACTCGGTCTTCTTCTCACAAGCAGTGCTGGTTAAGGTTATCCTGTCTTAAAAGGGGCCTGCACTCTATTGTAAGTCGGCCAGTATTCACCAAAAGAGAAATCTTCATAAACATTCTCCGACATAAGTGTGCCGTTACCCCTTACGAAGATCGGTTTTAGCTTGAAAAGGTATTTTTTGGGAACGTACCATCACTTTCATAACACAGCACACTCTTGTTCCAAAAAATCACCGTTCGAAAGACCATGGCTATATATGAATTTTTTGTTTTTAAATCACTCTATCCTCTTCTAAAAGAGAGACCTGCGGAAGGATACCCAACCAAAGTGTGGCGACACCATAACCCAAGTTACTCAGTGTTCACTAAGACAAAAAAAGATAAATAAAAATGTCCTAGCATGAGTGTGCCGCTACGTCTAAAGAAGATCGGCTTTAACTTGAAAAGGATAAACTTCGCAAAGTTACTAGTATTTTCATGTTCCAAAAATTCTCAACTGCAAGACAGAATCTATTGACGATTTTTTGTTTTTAAATAACTGGGTCCTAGTTTCATAGGAAATACTGTGTAATATCTCACCGTTAATAAAGATGTTCGGTATAAAATCGTCCAAAATCTTTATGAAAATAAGTTTCCTGCTTAAAAAAAATAACTTTCGCAACGCCCTCCTGATCTAAAAATCTTGTTTAATAATTCTCTCTTTTCCTTATAGGGAAGGCTGCGTACGGATACTCTGTCAAACGTTTCCGGCACTCTTATGCAATTTACCTAGTGTTTACTAAGATAGAAAAGATAAAGAAGATGTATCTGATAAAAGTCAGGGCCACCTTATGAAGATCGTTTTTAGCTTGAAAAAGGTAAGTTTCGCAAAGGTGCCTTCACCTTCACAACGTGGTACCTTCCTGTTCCAAAATTTCTTATTCGAGAAATGATGAAATTTTTTGGTTTGTTTTAAATAACTCCTTCCTCTTCTTACAGGAAATGCAAAGTAACGACAGCCTGTCAGAAATTTCCTGGCACTCTTATGCAAGTTAGTTAGAGATCACTAAGACAAAAAAGATAAAGGCAACTAGCCAAAAGTATGCCGGCATGCTTATGCAAGTTAGTCGGCATTAACTAAGGTAAAAATATAAATAAAGATACCTTTCATAAAAATACCAGTACCCCTTATAAAAACGATTTTATCTTGAAAATGAGAATCTTTGCAAAAGGGCAAACACTTTCACCTCGTGGTACTTTCATGATCCAAAAATTTCCCATCGTGTCTTGAAATGAAATTTTTGTTCGTTTTTAAATAATCTTTTTATAGGTAATGCTGTGTAAGTCTCCCATCAAAAGTGGGTAGGCACCCTTGTACAGTTTAGCTGATGTTCACTAAGACAGGAAAGATAATTAAAAGTGCCACGATAAAGGTGCTAGTACCTCCTCAGGAAGATCGGTTCTAGGTTGAAAAGGGTAATCTCTCAAATTGCCAGCACCTTCACATTCCAGGGTAAAGGTAACAGCCAATCATCGTAAAGGTAAGAGCATCTTCACAGCGTCGTCCATTCACCTTCCAGAAATCTCTAGTCGAGATACGGTGTCTATAGATGAATACATTTTTAAAAAGAACGCAGCGTATGGATTCCCCCTCAAAAGTGTGTCAGCAGCTTTACGCAAGTTAGTCAGCTTTCACTAATACAGAAAAGATTTAAAAAAAGGCCCAGAGATACATGTTTCGGCACCTTTGAACAAGTTAGTCGAAATTCACTAATATGGAAAAAATAAATAAAGATGATCCGGCATAAATGTGCTGGCACCCTTATAGTCAGAATTCACTAATATAGAAAAGATAACTACAGATATTCTAGCATAAATGTGACTGTACCCTTATGCAAATTAGTCAGTGAGACAGAAAATGTAGATAAAGATTCCTCGGCATAACTATGCAGCCACACCTTATGAAGATCGGTTTTAGCTTGAAAGGATAATCTTCACAAAAGTGCCAGCACATTCAAAACGCGGTACCTTCATGTCATAGAAATCTACAGTTGACAGATGATGCCTACAGATAAATACTCTTTTGCTTTTAAATAATTCTTTCCTCTTCATATAAGAACCGCTGCGTAAGGATTCCGGTCAAAAGAGTGCCGGGACCATCATGTACTTTAGTTGGAGTTCACTAAGCTAGAAAAGATAACGTTTCCCCAGCATAAATTTGCCGGTGCATCTTATGAAAATCGATTTTAACTTAAAAAGTGGGCAAAAGTGCAATCGAGAGATTGTATGTATAAAAAAAGGTTTTTGTTTCCTTTAAAATAACTCTTATTAGAGAGCTCCTTTTATAGGGAGGACTGAGTAAGGATTCTCCTTCAAACTTCAAAAGTACACCACTACCCTTAAGCAAGTTAATCGATGCTCATTAATTAAGATGCCCCGAATATAGCATGCCGGTTCTCTTTATGAAAATGCGTATCATCTTGAAAAGCAAAAAGTTCCAGCTCTTTCACAAAACGGTTACCTTCATGTTCCAGGAAAGCCCAATTGAGAGACGATGTGTACAGAGCACTGTTTGTTATGTTAAATTAATGCGAAATTTTATTATTTCTCAATGTTTCACAAAAATTCATCTAATAATCTCAGAAGGAAAGTTTAAGTGGGAAATTCTTTAAAAAGTATCTATCATATTGGGGAAAATATCTTCTTCGGTGGTTAAGTTTGATTTCTTTATTTTGATTTCACCTATGCACGAATTTTTGCAAATTCTTTGCAGTTCGTTATTAATATAAATTAAAACTGTAAACATTTTTTGAGAATTTTAAACTTATTCGAAAAATAGATTTTAAAAAATAGAGATTTCAAAATAATGTAATTAAAATTCCACGACCGTTTCCGTCTTTGCATATCGATCAATATCTTAAAATCCTTCTTTATAAATGACGGCCATATCTGAAGCAGAAAAACGTTTTGTCCCAAACGATAAATGAAATGAAAAGATAGAACAGCGACGTATGCAATTTTTTAACTCTTGATAAATTTTACCTTTTACATTCTAAATCAACAAAATAAAATTAAAATACATCAACTTCAAACTTATACCAACTAAAAATTAGCATCCAAAATTTAGGTAATATTGTAATATACTGTGAAATATCAATAAGATTAAAATTATGATAATGCACACAAGAGGCAAAGAGTTTTCGTATATATTCGCCAGAAATGCAAATATTTGGTATTTTTATTTATGCCCTTCTATAAGAGAAAAAATTTCAATGAATAAATGTTCAACATTTTCACTTGTTATAAAACTAAGCAATGAAGTTATTAATTGATATCTTTACCAATTATTAATAAAAAGGAAATTACTTATTAACGGAATACAATTAGCTACTAGTAGTATATACAAATAATAAATTCAATGCAAATTACGATTAAAAACATTATTATAGTTATTATTAAAACAAAAGTAACGAATGAATTCTTGAAATGCAAATTATTATTGTAAGTACTAGTTCGCAAAATTAGATAAATGTAAAATTGTGTATTCTTAGGTAAGAGTAAATTTCAAACTATTCAAATCTCAGATATTCTTATCAATTTACTTAATTGATTCTTATCAATATAATTTATTGCTTGATATCAATTTAATTCCAGATATTCTTATTGGTAATAAGTAAGTAATGTAATTTTCCATACATTCTTATTGATTTACTTAATTGCCAATTTAATTCAGATTTCGCGACAGTCTTATGAATCATTTATTTGTGTAAATTTAAATTTCAAATGTTTTTGCGTATTTTGCGAAAAGCTGACATAAATTCCTTCTTCAATAACAATAATAATAATTGCTAAAAAAGATTTCATTCGATAAGAAAATCTTATCTCTTACTTCCTGGTATAATTTTCTGATAAAGTGATGAATCAAGTTATGCGAATGAAGTGTGAATTAATTTGAATAATGACTGATTTTTTTTCAGTGTGAATATTTTTGGGACAGATTATTGATAATTCTCGGCGAAAGTCGAACATTTGCTACTCATTATAATTTTTTGACAGAAAAATAATTCAAATCAAATCACGCCAACAAGGACAATAAAATCTGATTTTGATGTTAGATTTTTTTTTTATCTGAATACTTTTTCGTCAGAAATCGAATAATTCTAGCTGAAATTTTAGTACAGGCTGAAGATTTTCTACTCGTTATAATTTTATACTATTGATATTTCACTGAATGAAATTCAAACTCAGTTTTTCTGAAAACCGACATGAAAATAATATTGATTTAATTCGTCGATTTTAATGATTAAATCTCCCAAGCCCGTGTAATCAGTAGATTTGGCGAAGCGATCTGTTCCATACAGTGTCAAAAACATGGCAACCATAGGTTAGTGATAGAAAGCACGTATAAAATCGCTTTATCTAATCCTAAAATCACCCTCTCCCAAACGCTGCAAAATCGCGAAATGATCACTAATTGAACAACTAGGACCGAGAGAACCAGATCTGCCCGGTTAGCTTCTTTGGATTTAGGTAGCCTTCCGGTTTGCAACATTCTCTTGATCTGTCTCAACGATGTCACCCACGACGATTCGACTGCAAATGTGACGATTCGTTCTCAAATGCGACTATTCGATCGCAAATGCGACGAGGGGAAGAAAAAACAAAAAATGTCACCCGGATCGAAAAAGGAAAAACAACACATTCCATTAAGTAGAAGAATCGAACAATTCACTTCAGCGTTTGATCCGAGTTCACGAAGGTAATACAATATATACCACGATCTTGAATACCGCAACCGTCTAAACAAACCAGAAGTTCATTGCTGTCAGCACAATGAAAGTTTAGACAATTAAAACAACGCAGTAACATGGGTTTTCAGCATTAGAATATCCTGTATTTTGTTCTGTAGTAGTCGATGTTCTATTTAGGGGGAAAGGAATTCCTCCACTTCCCCCGACATGGTGTTTGTGGGGGAAGGAGAAAAGACGTCCAAAAAAGGGGAGGCCAGCACCAAATATCCTCAGGTGGACAAGACTTGGCCCACAAAAAGTTGTTATTTGAGCAAAAAGGGTCATATCCACGCCCTTAAAATGACCTTCTCGCCGGCGGCCGCCGCTCTCCGAAGGGGGTTGGGCAGAAATGTTCGAGTTCCATGGAACGGGTTTCCTCATCTGGAAGCTTTACCCTTGTGCATCTCGATGATGGCGTCCTGGTCGACGTACTGGAAGATGTGTGGAGCATCCAACAGTATACCCACAGTTCCAGCGGCTGTTACCAGGAAAAATATATACAGTTGCAGACGATCGATGACCATTGCGACGTACTTCCAGTCCTCTCGTATCTGCAACACAAGAAAAGTATCAGTTTAATTTCGTTAGGAAGATATATTATTTTCTAACAAAATACGTTTTACCAGGTCAACCCATAAGTAATGTAATTTTTACAATATATAACAATTTTAACAGTATGATGTATATGTTATAATATGTTATATGGAAAATAATGTATGTAAGCAAATACGTGCGTAATGTAGAAATGGACGTAATATATGTATGTAATTTACATACGTATAAGTAATAATATGTAATATAATACTTAATATGTAATGTAATGTAATGTTGATATGTAATAATGTGTATGCGATAGGGTATGTAATAATGTTTCCTAACAAAACTACGTTTTACTAAGTCAACTCATACGTAATGTAATTTTAACAATGCATACCAATTTTAACATTTTAACAATATAATGTACATGTAATATAGAAAACAATGTATGTAAGTAAATACGTACGTAATGTAGAAATGGACGTACATACCTGTATGTAGTTTACATAAGAAATAATGCGTAATATGATACTTAATATGTAATGTAATATTAATATGAAATAATGTATATGCAATAGAGTATGTAATAACGTCTGTAATATGTAATAAATAATAAAAAATATGTAAAAATGGGAATAGGTAATAAAAACTTTGAATAGGGACTTGAACGCGAATATTAAATATGAAGCTGAAATGAAGTTAAGTTGCATCAAAATATTGAATAAAGAGTGGCATGGGAATGTTGAATTGAAATAAGTTGCATCAAAATGTTGAATAGGTTGTTGAAATGAAGTAAGTCGCATCAGAATGTTGAATATAGTAATAATGAATATATTGAATAAAAACAGGACCATTATAAAGTTCAGTTTATGGCTTGAAGAAAGCAACTTTTGTCGAGCTGCTGGTACTCTTATATAAGAGGATCTTTCTCGCAAAATTCCCTCATAAAGTTATATCTTGGCAAAATTCCCTCATAAAGTTACTGGCGCTGCTAATGAATTTCAATTTATAACGTGGAGAGAGCATTTGTTGTCGAGGTGCCATCATCTTCGTGATGGCTTCTGTCTTGGAAAACAATCGTCGAATTGCACAAACGTACCGGCATATTTAGTGACTAGCAATGACTAAAAATGTAGTGAATGACGCTTTTAGTGACTAGTGCCGGCACATTTACTGACTAGTGCCGGAACCTTAAGTGAACTATAAGCCATTAGCGGTTCGGGAAATTCCCCGAATTCTCAATGACCTCTGTCCCTGTTGCGTACGTACCTGTATGTACTCGTCCTCGCTCCTCAGGTGCTCGGCGATGAACTCGACGGCTTCCGTGGCCTTGTAGGCTTCTGATGATAGAATAAGCGTGTTGCTCTCTGAAGAGAGACTGCTTGACACCGCCCGTGCCATTGTGCAGTTGGGGTGGTGGACGTCGAGAAGCTCCAATTTACTCCGCGGGGGAGGCTGCGAGGGGTGGTAGTGCTGATGGTAGACTCCGGGGAGATCCATCATCCATCGCAGACGCGTCTTTTTCGGCCGCTTCATCAGAAGCATCGAAGGAAGGTACTGAAGAAATACCACTCGGATCCAGTTGGGCATCCTACAAGGAAAAATGTGCACCATGATTCAAAAACGGAAGAAATGTTAATCCGTTTTCGACAATTATATCTCAATCATTACATCTGATAATAAAGCCTAATTTGTAACAGTTCATTCTGTTTAGTCTCCGCAGCAGTCGTCGCTTTGTAATATATTTCTCTGTATAGTTTGTGTATCTGTCTTTGGTTCATCTGTCATGAGTTTGTATGAGTTATCACTTTGTCTCTGTAACACTTATCACTATTTCCATTAGTAACAATGCAGATATTAACTCCTAAACAAGTCACCGCATATAATTACTGTGGCTATTCTAAACAATGTGAAATGTATATTGTAGCATTATATGGAATGCGTAAAGTATAAGGCTATGGTCATGAATTCAGTGCAAAGCAGCAATGTACCATGTGTTACAATGTGTCGTACCCGAAGCAAGTAAAACTGTTTAACTGTTAAACTCTACAGCTATGCGCTAAATAATATAATTTAAAATTAATGCATATTACTGTGCAGTTCGTGTATATTCGTGTCACCTACAGACTACTATAAATGCTCATGTACAACTACAAAGCGTCCAATGCATATTTGTTCCAGTGATCAGCTTCGAATGCTCATATAGTACAAACGTAAAGGATAGTTGCAAGGAGTCTTAGAAAGCCATCCGGCCTTGCTGTCACCTCTCACCTCTCTTTGTAAAACTTATTACTTTGTAAAAGTGTAACTTTTATCTTTTCATTGTAATAGTTCGCATTATTTTGCCTTTGATTTATCAATCTTGTCTTTTTAATTGTTCATCCTGTCTTGTTTCTGGTTATTAATTCATCTTGTTTTTGTAACAGTTATCACTTGTAATCTGTCTGCCTTCGGTTAATCCATCTTTCCTTTTTATCAGTTACCACTCTTTAAAGTATATATTTCTTACTAACCTGTCTCATTATAATCTATTTGTCTTAACTTTTTCTTTATCTGTCTATGTAATCTATCTAACTTTGATTTATCGATCTTGTATTTGTAAGAGTCTCGTCTTTGTAACAATGATCACTTTGTAATAGTTTAATTTCTATCTTGTCTTATAATGTATTTCTCCCGCCTTCTTAGCATGCCTTTGTGATGTAGTGGTCAGTACGCTCGGAGCGTATTTCGAGAGTTCCGTGATTCGAATCCCGGCGAGGGCATTGCTCATTTTTTATGCCTCCTGCTTCCAAATAACCTAATGTCTCTTCTGTCTTTGGTTCAGGAATTTTATCTTTGCAACAGTTCACATTATCCAGTCTTATAATAGTTGTCACTTGTGTTTACGTTCCTATGTTAGAATGACGCCCAAATGGATCACGCAGTTTCGATTTTAAATATCCTTAATAAATTCAAATATTCTTGGTCTATTTAAACCAAACTGAATACATTTAATAATATAACATTCACACGTAAACATTTAGTAATAATTCAGCAATACAGATAAGCTTTAAAAATAAGAATTACAACAGTTACAGGTCAGCTACGATTTTAGCGACCGCATTCTACGAACGACAAATCTCCAAAAGCGTGTTGCCAAAGCAGGGCAACAAAAAGGTTGAAATTAATTCGATAGGCGTGGAAGTGAACATATTCGCACCCTATCAGGTTTAATCCTGATACACAGGCAAAGGTGAAAGTTTATTAATTGGTCTTGTGAAGACACCAGTTTTAGTTTTGACTGTAGCTACGCGAAATAAGCCGTCCTTGCCTGGATGGACATCGATGATCTGTCCTATAGGCCAAGCTAAAGGTGGAGATCCATCTTCAATGACAAGAACCACCGTGTCTATCTTCAAGTTGGGTTTGGTGTACGGTCACTTGGATCTCTGCTGAAGAGAAGTCAAGTATTTCGCTTTTCCAGCGATTCGAAAATCCGCGACGTAGATTCTGTACAAGTTCCCACCTAGAACTCCTTGTGCGAACAGACTGATGCGTCTTTGGAAAGTAAAAGTATCACCGGTAATAAAATGAGAAGGGGTTAAAACATTAATAGAGTCAATATCAGAATCGTTCACGTAAGTAAGTGGAATTGAAATCAAAAGAGCCTCGATCTGGGTAAGTAGCGTTGAAAACTCTTCGTAAGTTAAAAGAGTCTCTTTCGATATTCTTCTCAGATGAAATTTCGCTGAGCGAATGCCGGCTTCCCATATTCCTCCGAAGTGGGGTGAAGCAGGCGGTATGAAATGCCATTCAATAGATGACTTAGTTAGTTCTCGGGAAACCGATTCTGTTGCATACAGGGAAGACCAAATCTGATTTAGTTCTTGTAGTTTTCGGCATGCTCCCCCAAAATTGGTACCTTTGTCACTGTAAATGTGCCGTGGTGCACCGCGACGTGAAATGAAACGTCTAAGTGCCGCGATAAACGACTCTGCCGTCAGGGCACTGACTGCTTCTATATGCATAGCTTTAGTCGACAAGGAAACACACCGAGCTATATAGCTTTTCGTTGTTTTAGAACCACGACCCTTATTAAATTTCATGGTAATAGGACCAGCGTAATCCACACCAGATGCGTAAAAAGGTCGTTTCAAAGTCACACGATGTTCAGTAAGTCACCCATCATTGCGGAGTTTGAAGCAGCTTTAAATCTATGACATATTAAGCAATGGGTTGACACAACTGCGTTATCAGTCTCTTCCCTCCAATTATCCAGTAAGATTTGCCTGATGAGGTGTGGATAATAAAGAACGACCAGCGTGAAGGTAAATAATATGAAGTTCCTTCATTAGTAATTCACTAAATTTATGTTGAGAAGGAAATATGATAGGATGTTTGATGTTAAATGCTAAAGATTAATTTCGAAGACGTCCGGTCCCGTAAAAGACTATCTTTATCTACGAATGGATATAGAGAACGTAGTTGGCTCTTCTTGGGTAAAGGTTTCTCTTCCTTAATACATTGCAAATCATCTTCAAAATAATTATTCTGAATCCAACGAATAATGAACTTTTCTGCTACTCGAATCTCTAGAAATGTTAGCGGCATAAGGCAGCTGGAGTTAATAACACTACGTGAAATGTTCTGAGTAACATGATGCTTCTTGCAATTAGTAATAAATCTTTGACAGTAAACCAGAATAAGAACAGTTCTACAACGAGAAGAATAATTCTCGAATAAATTAGCTAATAAATCATTCGATTCACGTATATGAGAAATAAAAATAGGATCATATCTTTGTTCGGCCTTTACTTCAGTATCATCTTCAGATCTTAATTCATATTTAGGCCATTTTTCCTCTTCCTAATGCATGGTGGACCACCACAAAATACAACTTGGTAGGAGTTGAGGTTCAATACCACGAGCAGCAATGTCTGCAGGATTTCGTTTAGAGGGAACATGATTCCAATGTTTAATAGGTATCACTTCTATGATTTGAGATGTTCTCTTTGCAACAAAAGTTTTCCACTTATGTGGATGAGCGGATAGCCAAGACAGAACTACCTTGGAATCCGTCCACGCATAGATTTCGAAATTAAACTTCTTTAAAATGTTCAATAGAGATCGCATTAATCTGGTCAACAAAATACGCAGCACAGAGTTCTAATCGAGGAAGGCATACTTGCTTTATAAGCGCGACTTTAGTCTTTGATACCAAAAGATTAACCTTAACCATACCGTTGCATTTTTGGCGACAGTAGATGGCTGCTGCATAGGCCTGAGAAGATGCATCACAAAATCCATGTAGTTGGATAACACTGTCCGTTGTAAGTATGACACATCTCGGAATTTCACAATTATTGATTTTATTGAATGTCTCATGAAATTTAAGCCAATCATCTGATATATGCTGGGGAACAACTTAATCCCAGTCGCCTTTAACTAACCATAGCTTTTGATAGAATATTTTAATCAATATAGTGCAAGGATATAGGAGACCTAAAGGATCGAAAATGCGAGCAGATTCTGCCAATATGTGTCTCTCTTTGTTATAGGTGCGTTGATGTGCAGTGTAGCTTTAAAACTGAAGGTATCAGTAGTTGAATTCCAAAATAGTCCTAAGACTTTCGAACTCGAATTAGGAGATATCTCGAAATCAGAATTCAGTGAACAATGTTCCTTAAATTCAGTTAAGAATTCTACAGAATTTGAATTCCACTTCCTCAAATAAAACCACGTGCATGTAAAATTGAAGATATTTTCTTGCAGACAGATACTGCATCATCAACTGTATTTGCACCCGACAATAAGTCGTCCATATACATATCCTCTTCCAATATACGAGATACATCTGATTCCTCTTTAGAATCTAAAACTATCTGCTTCAGACATCGAGTTGCTAAAAACGAAGCAGAGGAAAGACCATGCGTAACTGTTTTCAACTTGTAAGTGCGTATTTCATCACTGGAATTGTATTTCCAAAGTATCAACTGATAATTCTGATCTTAAGGAGCTACCATCACCTGACTATACATTTTTCTCCACATCGGCTGTGAAAGCAATTTTAGGAAATCGAAAATTAATCAAAATCTCAAAAATATCTCTGTAATTTCGGACCTACCCCTAAAAGAGAATTCAATGATATACCGTTTTCACATTTAAAGGATTCATCAAAGACTCTTAATTTTGTCGTTGTGTTAGAAGGTTTAATGACCACATGATGAGGAAGATAAAACTTTTCTGTATCCGATTTGTTCGATAAATCATCATTAATCACAGTCATGTGTCCTAACTGTTAATATTCATGTATAATATCTTTATACTGTTTTTCAAATTCCGGATTATCTTTTGAATTTTCGTTCCATGGAACGACAACCTAGAAATTGCGGCCGGTTTTGAATCACCCAACTTCAAATGCGATTTATAGAATGGAAGATTTACAACAAATCGCCCATCTGAATTAACAGTATGAGTGTTTTGAAAATGTGATTAAAAAAAATCTTCCTCGGGTGTCAGAAATTCCTTCTTCCCAACATCGACAATATCCTCAATTTTCCAGAAACGCTTAGGTTCGTAATCAATATTTATATTATCTTCTAACCTTATGAAGTGTGAATTTGCTGTTTTGGGACCTTCCATATTATTTCCGACCTTCCCAGCAATCATCCAACCGAAAATTGTACTTTGAGCTGCAGGCTCATTTTCGAACTATATATTTGGCCACATCTTAAAACGAAGAAAAAATAATCAGCTCCTAAAATCAAATCAATTTCTTTGGGTTGAGCAAAATTCGGATCCGCTAACGGAATAGATTTAATGTATTCTATATGCTTTACATTAATGACTTGTTCCGGCAATGGCAAAAGTCAACCTATTCCGAGAATGTATGCGTTAACACTCAATTATTTCACTTATTTAGCCTTGATCCGAATCTTTAAAACCAACAGAGCCGACGAGTCTTGGAAGCTAGCACTCCACCAATTTCCACGCAAAAGTAACCTTTCATTCGTTCTTTTTAACCCTAATCTTCGAACAGCTCGTTCAGAAATAAACGAACTTTCACTTCCTGAATCCAGTAATAATTTAATTCGATACTTTCGCCGCTGAACGAAAATGCGAGTGCGAGAACCGTAGGCAAAATCGTCGAGTTGCAATTTTGAATCGTATTACTTGACACTACCCTGACCTTGACCCTCGCGTGATTCATTCGAAATTCTCTCTTTCCTTTTCATTTGGCGCTGAATGCTTTCGTTTTCATTTGGCGCTGTTAAAAGCTGTACGTTGTTAGCTTTAATATCTTCATGCAACAAACTATTACGTGTTTTTGAATTACACAAATTACACTTTAACTGTGAATTACAGATTTTGATTAGATGTGAATTTAAATTATTATTTGCATTTTAAATTATTATTTACATTTTAAATTATTATTTTTAATTTAAATTATTTTTATTACGTGTTTTTTGAATTACACAAATTACACTTTAACTGTGAATTACAGATTTATTAGATGTGAAATTTAACAAAAAAGAAACATAAAAACACATCCTTGTTTCTCACAAAATTCTTTCTAGCAGTAACATCCACATTCTTAAATTTAATTTATATAAAGCATGAAGTCCATTACATTTCGAACATTTAGTATTACTAAATTTAGAATTCTGTAACGTTTTAGAACTAACACTACTATTTTTATGAACTACTTTAGCTTCTGCTTCTTTATTTATGATAATTTAGAGAGAAGAACATCTTAAATTTAAAAATTCAAAAAATGATTCCAGTAGGAAAATCATCTTCCGCTGTTTTCTGTGCCCATAACTTTCGAGTTTCTGAATCTACCTTTTGAAGCAACATAAATATTAACCATAGGATCCCTAGAAGTTGCTTTGTCACCAAGTAGCTTTCAAACCTCTTGATAACTTCATCGGAAGTATCAGCTAATTAATAAATTAACATTATCAACCTGTAATTAATAAACCTGTAACCGCAAATTAACATTATCAACCTGTGAAATACATTTTTGATCCAGAAATATTTTAATTAACGATTGTACAATTTGTTATTTTTATCGTACCTAGCGAGCAATTTTGCCCATGCTTCTTCATAAGAATTATTTGATAACGGAATATGTTTAATTATAGAAGCTGGTTCATCAGAAAGTGATCCGATTAAATACTGAAATTTCTGTATATTCGATAAAGAAGTATTATGCACTGTTGCAACAAACAAATCTTTAAAATTCATCCAGTCATTAAAGTTACCCGAAAAAATAGGAATATTCAACTTCGGTGACTTAAAGTTACTAATATTAGAATTTTCTGAAACATTTGGCACATTAGCCACATTCAATAAATCTAACAAATTTTGCTACTGAAGTTTCAAACTAGTAAAATACTTCGATTCAAAATCTTCAATTTCTGACTGTTCTTCTGGCAGTTGGGCATCAAATTTATCAAAATCTGAATAAATCCTTTCCAAGCGCTTCAGATGCAAAATTATTTCATTTTTAGATAAATCGGAAGTAATACTATTCTGAAGCCTCGTGAAGGCCGCTTTTGTCCTACCACGCAATCTAATGACAGTAATTTGATCCATATTAAGTAATCGAAGTATTCAAGTTCAAAATGAAAATCAAAACAAAATATGTATAACTTCAAGAATCAAATTCAGATGTAAATCAAAATAAAAAGCACATATCTGTACTTGAACTGCTGACGAATTCCCAATCTCGCCGCCGTGCCTCCAAAAATTACGTTCCTGTGTTAGAATGTTTACGTTCCTATGTTAGAATGCCGCGCCGAAAATGGATGACGTAGTTTCGATTTTAAATATCCTTGATGAATTCAAATACTCTTGGTCTATTTAAAGCAAACTGAATACATTTAATAATATAACTTTCACACGTAAACATTTAGTATTAATTCAGCAATACAGATAAGCTTTAAAATAAGAATTACAACAGTTACAGGTCAGCTACGCTTTTAGCGACCGTATTCTACGAACGACAAATCTCCAAAAGCGTGTTGCCAAAGCAGGGCAACAAAAAGGTGGAAATTAATTCGATAGGCGTGGAAGTGGACAGCTTGTAATCTTTCTATCTTTGTAAGCTGTCTTTGTGTATCTGATCTTGTAATTTATGTGCCTTTGTATTTTTATCTCTCTTTCCTTGTAGTCTATCTATGTTTGGTTCATCTATCTTGTCTCTGTAATAGTTCACACTCTGTTGCCTTGGGCTAGTCTATGCTGTCATCGTAACAGCCATCATTTTATAAACAATGTTGACTTTGTAACATTTCAGTTAATAGCCATTTATGGTCTCCGACTAGCGGCAATTATTGGCATTACAGAAACTGAAGTTAGAGGTTTCGTGTAAATATCAACCACTTATCGTCGCTTGTTAACGGCAATTAGTGGTAATAAACAAACTGATGTTTGGAATTATGTTAGCGTAACTGTAGGTCTTTTATGCTCGCTAATGAGCAACGATTAGTGATAATGAACAAACTGATGATACGGATTTGGATTAGGGTTACTGTAGGCCTCTTACGGTTCCCTATTAGCGGCAATTAGTGATAATAAACAAACTGATATTAGAAACTTATGTTAGCGTAATTTAGGTCTCCTAGTAGAGAAATTAGTGGTTATTTGTCTTAGGGTAACTCTAGACCTCTTACGGTCATTTGTTAGCGGCAATTAAGGGCAATAAACAAACTGTATTAGGGACTTATGTCAGCTAACTGTAGATCATTTATGATCTCTTATTATTAACGGCAATTACTGACAATAAACAAACTGATATTGATGTATTTTAGCAATAATTGTAGGCCACAAGTGCATCACTGGCAACGAACAGACCTGTTCTGCCCTGCAGTTATTGGTAATAAACAGACTCATGCAAACGGCAAGTATCAAACAACTGTAGTGGTTTCTTAACACAAACTGGAATTCAGTTAATAAATTGATGTTAGCAGCAACTGCTCACCACTCCTGATGTCTTGTTCATGATAGCAAAACTCAGCCACTGGTTAGCAGTACCTGATACTTCTTATAGATGCAATTAATCTAATTGGGTTAACAACCGATCGTCTGGTGGCACATTCCGGAAGCTCCATATTATACATAGTAATACTGAGGGTTCGGGTATATCTTACCTGTGCGTCCTGGGCCCCCTGAAGTTCCAGTTGATGATCACGACCGTGACCAGGATGGAAACGGTGTTCATGAGAAAGGTGAAGAGCAGGTACTTAGCGATGAGGGGCAGGACAAGGGACGTCGGGGGCAGGATCTTTGACACGAGCAGGAGGAAGACGACCAACGAGAGCAGGATTGAAATGCCCAAGGTGACTTTCTCTCCGGCCTCCGCGGGCAGGTAGAACACCAGGATGCACAGGAAGGAGATCAAAACCGTCGGCAGGATCAGGTTGACCGTGTAGAAGAGAGTCTTGCGGCGGATCGTAATGTAGAACGAGATGTCCGTCTCTGTAACCTACGGAAAAGAAAGCAGAATGAAGTAGGCGGCTCTTAACCGTTTCTTTCCCGTTGGTCTAACACTGAAACCAAGCATTCAGGATTCTATAGAATGTATGCAGTAGCTTTTCTTGCGCAACCACATGCATAAATAAATAACACAAGACGTAGCGGAAATTTCAGGATGAAATGCAGCTTTTCCTCAATATCGGAATTTTCGTGATGTGATACTACTTGTAGAGTGCCATAACTTTGCGTTTTGTGCAACAAAATTTCTCTATCGTTTTCTGGACATTGTTGTCTTCGTTTTATTCGCAATCTGTTGATGTGACAATTCATACATCTTAATTGCATGAAGAATGAAGGAACGTTTCTTACGATTTCTGTAGCGAAAGAATTGATAGAGTTGCGAAAACATTAAAAACGTGAGCAAAAAATTAAAGACATCAGCACATACTGCAGAAAATACAGATTGCCGATATATGTATGAGACATTTTTGCGCTGCGGGTTTGTGCAGTATAAGAGATGAACTTTATCTTAAAAAATGCACAAAATGGCAACGCACGGCTTACAATATTAGACTCTGCTTGAATAATAAGAACTAAAGGATCATAAAAAATTAATCAAAACGTATAGTTCTAGTCGTATTAATAGTAAAACCACCATATTTTCTATAATAAATTAAAATGCCGGGGCTTAAAACAGCCTGAGCAGCACTTTAATTCTCTTAATTGTCTAACTTCCCCTTTAAGGACATGGATCGAACCATAAAACATTCTTAGCTTTCGTGAATTTTTCAGCAAAAAATATATTTTTTTTCCTTACTTGCAAGTAAACTTTCTGAACTCGCGACGGGTTTTTTGTTCCATCTTTAAAATACTCATTGCGAAAAGTAGGAGATAATTCGAATCCAGACCTAGCAAGTTTGACTCTTTGCGCTCCTTCAACCTCTCTATGCAAATATTCCAAGACATTTGAAAAGACGTGATCATTTATAATTGAATAGAACGCCTCCCTGCCATACTCGAAGCTTCTCAGCTTATAGACAGGACTCGACCTTGGGGTATAACCAAGAAAAATCCTGCAACTTGCAAGGCAGTGTCAACAGTTTATTCAGTGCTACGCTCAGATTCCTAAGCCTAAACCTCTAGGAATCTGAGAAATGATTCGATTCTGTCAAACAGTGACACCAGAGGCAACTTACCCTTCCCTTGTAAGCGTGCACTTGGAATAATTAATTTTAGCAATTCCCTCACATATATCTCAGTTAAACGGTTAGTGAGTAATACACTGACTGAGTAAACAATGGTGAGTGGGAGGAAGTGTACGTGTCCAGTATGATTAAGACGAGAGAGGGCGGTGGAGCGAGCACTACAAGGGTGAGTAAGAAATCACTTACTCATCAGAGAGGAAGGTTCCGAGAAGGCCGAGGGGAAGGTTCTGAGAAGGCCTGGGATATTTTTGCTATAAATAGGCACGATGTTAACAAATTTAACGTTTTGCTCAGTTTTGTGAACATTTTTATTTTCTACGCTTTACGCTCGTAAAAAAAAATTAAAAAATTAAAAACACCTTTGTGCGGCAGGCGCGGATAATCAGGAGTCTAGTATTTCAAAGTGGCAATGTGGCGTTACATAAATGTCGCAGTGTGACCTCACAACTTCACAAAGCAACTTCACAACAACATTGCAGCATAACTGCGCATCAACGTTATCATAATAATGTCACAATGTGACTTCACATCAGAGTCACAGTATGACCTTACATTAATGTAACAATACAACATCCCGATAACGTTCCAGTGTGACATCACATAAACATTACAATGTGAAGTCATTAAAAGATGACATTTAAGAGATGCCTACAATGTCATTATGACATTGAGATAGTTACATTGTGACACGTTTGCAGTGTGACAGCTGCGTCACTGTGCTATTGGGATTGATCAAAATTTTTTTTTTAATTTCATAAGAATGCTGTTGAGCTAAAAAGACTGGTCAGAAAACGAAGCTTAAAGAATATTTCAACTCTAAATTTTTATTTGAAAGTAACACAGTACGCGACAGAAATTACCAATGTGAACAGATTACGTTTTTGATGTTTGGTAATTTTTACTTCCCTGTACTAAGTAAAGGAAGTATTGTAACCGCAGAAAATTTTGGGTATCATATTTCAACGAAAATATCCATTTTGACCACTCTCGAATCCATCTGAATGAACTTTTACGTGACATGTTTACGGATAGAATAAAGCTCTCTTTTTTCCAACAATGGATTTAAAATTAATTCAGAACAGATTGTTTTCGTGACGTCTGTACGCACTTAGTGCGTACAGATGATGCGATTTCGCATAACTGAAAAACGAGTAGTCGTAGAACGCTGAAATTTTGTATATGGAGCTGCTGTTCATATAGTTGTGCACCTCCCTTTCTCTTTCAATCGGCCGCACCAAACGTGTATTCCCACCCGGCTCAGCGATTTCACTTTTATGTATTAGTAAATTGTGCATTGTTTGCTTTAAAAGTGGTTTAATTATTTTGTTCTTATATTTAGGCTATGGTTTTATGCCTTTAGTTAATCTGCATGTGATAGTGGTAGAATTGTCAACAATTTAAAAATTTAAGATGGGGTAGGCCAGAAGAGGCGGATGTTTGTTTAGCTTTGAAAATCTTAGTAGAATAGTGAATTAAGTCAGTTTGTGCACCAAAATAAATGTCTTTTTGCACAATAGAACAGAAACAATAACTTGTGCATCGAAAATTTGGTCTTCCTGCCCGTTAGTTGAATTGCTGGTTTTGGTGTAGAAACTTTAATTTTAATTGTAAAAGTTGCTTTTAAACTATATCTAGAATCATAGGTTTTTCTGTCTTTTAGAATTTTTAATGAAAATGTTTTAAATTTTTATGTATTTTTGCCTTGACGCGAAATGAGAACTGAATTGATTGAATGAGACGGCACTAGCCACTACTAAGTCCAGAAGTGGTGACCATTTTATTGTGGAGGCACCTAATAGGCGGCTACCGTTACCTCCTATGAAGGGACAGATAATTTTTACATCCATGCCTTCTCCGGGATCCGAACCCGGGCTCTTTGGTATCGCAGTCAGGCTTCTCTAACCACTATACCGTCTGGGCGGCTGTGCATAATTCAGTAGGCCGTACAAAGAAGTCATTCAGTGTTCACATGAGATATTGTTTAATTGTAATTTTTACGATCAAATTAAAGTCGGACATCTCAATGAGCGAAATGTGTTTACAGCCAATCTTTATTTAACCTTAATTGTTTTAATGCGCTCTCTCAATAAGCGTGATTTTTTACTGTCTTAGTAACTGTTTGTACGAGAAAAATAAAGCTAAACTGTCATATTGTCTAGCGCAATAAAGACCCTGGGCTCCAAAGAGCTTTCTTTGATTTCCCAAGCTTTATTTACATATTAGTCTAAGTGGAATCATGATATGCCACATACCTTTCCGTACTTGGAGTTGTTGTAGACGTTGAGAAACGCCGGCACTTCGACGATGTCCCAGGTGCCGCTCTTCCAGTAGTCTGAGAGGTCGACCCAGTCGTTGTCGTTGTACAGCTTTAGCGATACTTGGTCGCCGTTGAAAGTCCACGAGCCGAACTTCATGACGCACTTCTGCTGATCGAAGGGGAAATACGTCACGTCGATGCGGCACGAGCTCTGATAGATGGCGGGGGGAACCCACATCACTCCACCATTCGGGTAGATGAGCACGTTTGACTTGTAGCGTACCTCGTAGTTTCCGTCGGCACTACAAAAATAAACAAGAAAACAACCTTTGGATTATTATAATGCTTAAAATTTATTTTTCTTTGTAATTTATCTGTCTTATGCATGTCTTCGATTCATCTACATTGTAACAGTTATCGCTTTGTAATTTTTCTGTTTTCTTTGTAATTTCTCTGTCCCTCCATATCCGTCTTTTTAATGTATCTATTCCTACTTAACTGTCTTTGTAATCCATTTGTCTCTCTTTGGAATCTGTCTGTCCCTCGTATCTGTCTTTGTTATCTATCTACCTTTAAGTATCTGTTTTTGTAGTGTATCTGTCTTTAATTATCTGTTTTTGAATTTATCTATTTCTATGCATCTGTTCTTGGAATCCATCTTGATGTGGTTAGTCTGTTTGTCTTTGGTTTGCCTACCTTGTCTTTGTAATAGTTATTACTTCATCATATATCTGTCTTCTTTATGATCTGTCAGTATCTCTGTACTATCTGTCCTTGTAATCTACACTTTTATGGAAAGTTTCCATCGTTTAGAACGGTGATCAAATTCTCTAAAAGCACCGGCACCTTTATAATGATGCGCCTTAATGAGTTCCCATATTTTGACCTTTATAAGAGTACTGGTACCATCAAAATGGGGCAGTCTTTTTATGAAAGTGCCCTTCTTTTCCAACAGGGGATGATCAGAATAAGAGTGGAAGAAGTGGATTTTGTGATTGAGGGGAAATACGCAAGTTTCCCGTCTGTTGAGCTGATTTATACTATAAAAGTGCTGGTACCTTTTAACGAGCCACGCTAAGGAATGTTTCCTGTTTTGGGAGCTGGTCGACCTGCATAAGAGCGCTGGCACTTTTATAACGGAGCTCCTTTATAAAAGTTTCCATCTTCCTTTCTTCGGTTTACTCAGAATCATTCTTTATTCGAAGGCAGTTAAAAAACGCAAAAAAGGGGAATAAACTATACTGTAATTAACAGAAAATTACTATTGATAATTTACCTGTATTCTCAAACATTTAATCTGGAGAAAAGTCTATTCCAATGTTCAAGTTAAATCAGTACTGAGAACAAAAAACAACACACTGTTCGTATTGGATGAATAAACATCCTCAGGAATTAACAAACTAAATATATATAACATTAAAGGAAAATCATTCACAAGAGAGCATCAATAATGTTATTTAGATCAAAATGGTTTACAAAGCTATTAGTATTTTTTGTTTTTTTCGCGGAATTCACACGACAAACACGATCTGTTTTTATCCGAGTCATTTTCTTTCTGTTGCGCTTTCCATAAACAGTTTTGTTTTATTCTCATTAGTATTTTTTCCATTTTCCAGCAATAAGAAAATGTACTTTTTTTTTAATTAAAGAAGATTTAATTAATCTGCAGTCTCGTGAATTTGCAGTTAATTGTATATCGCTGAGCAGCTGAAAAACAGGACTACACACACACACACACACACATATATATATATATATATACAGCAATCTAAAATATGACAGCGTGATTGCATTGCTGGGAAGAACTTGCAAATAATTTCTTAGCACTGCTGCAAACACTTCTTCATACTCCCGTGAAATACGGCGCGCAATTAAGTGGTGTGGTGAGCGTTTCCCGAAAACTGTGACCGTAACTGGATAATGGGAGCGTGCCCGCCGAAAAAAGATAATCGTTCACTTTAACAGCCGAACATTAAAATGCATTATTAAATTCCCATCCAGCGTCGGTTTCTCGTATTTTATTTTTGTTTTGTTTATTGATTTTATGTGTTTTTGCTTTGCTTTCTTTTTCAGCAAAATCCTGAAATTTAGACTGCCTTGTAAATTTTAGGAGATTGACATTCGAGGCGATTTTCTTTCTTTGTTTTTGTTTCCTTTATTTATTTTTACGTGGTATTATTTTATTTTTATATTTTTCTTATTTTCCCTTAAACCCTGAAGTCAAAATTTGATTCAAAAGAAAACTTGCTGTTGAGCTGATTTTCTGTGTTTAATTGATTTACTTTACATGGGTTTATTTTACTTTGTTTTCTGTTTCGATGACAATTTGAATTTAAATTTCGGATGTCTTATAAATTTAAAATAAAATTGGCTATCAAACTGTATTTCTTTTTAATTTTTGTTTTGTTTAGTGATATTTTTGTGGTGTTATTTTGTTTTATTTTCCTTTTGTTTAACCGAAATCTTGAAATTAAGTTCTTGACTCCTTTCAAAATTTTACAAAATTGACAGTTGAGCAGATTTTTGTTTTGTTTATTTACTTTTACGCAGTTTTATTTTGTTCCAAGTTTTCTTTCGGTGCAATCTTGAAATTAAATTTTTCATTCCATTCTAAATCCAAAGGAAAAGAAGCGAAACTCACTTGTTGAAAAGGACTATATCCGGCTTCCACACTTTATCCGGGGGCAGTCGGAGGACGTTGATACCACCATAGTCGGCCGGATCCCATACCAGCTGATAATCCATCCAAGTCTGTTGGGGGGAAAAAAATCAATGTATTGCAATCATATTTCTTTTTCCTGTGTAACGGGGTTAGACACCAGGGTGCCTGTGCATAGTGCACTACCCCTTCTGTAACTGAATTAAAAATTTCAAAGCAGATTAAGGCCATAACTTAAAAAAGAAAAAACAAGAAATCTGTGATCCTTACTAATGTAAATATTTTCCACCTAAAATAAGAATTTAGAAGGATTTATGACAGTGTTAAAAGCCGTCCAACCGGTAATGACAAGTATGAATACTGTGAGCTAATAGTGATGTAGAATACCTATACACATGTTTAGAAAATTCAAAAACGTAATATACAAAAAATCTTACTCACATATAATTTGTTCATTCAGAATAGAGAATAGACATAGGTCTTTTGCAATTGCGCGGACCACTTTAGTCATAATTATGAAACTATATTACAGGATTAAATAAATTGCGCGGTCTGGTATGAAAGTTTTTGTGATATGGTTAAAATAGGTTCTGATTTGGACAATTTTAAGTTCCTCATGATTCTTACTACCTCTAACATACCAGGGAGAATTTGTAATCTGTTGTAGAACGCAGATTTGAGTAGTCTGTAATTTTTTCCTGCTGGTTTTACAGGAGTACGCCTAAACCGGGCAGGCATAATGGATTTATAAATGAGTAATTTGTTGTCGACAGATAAAACACTGTTTCGTGCAATTAGGGAGAAAAGTTGAGCTTTACGTACACGAAACGTTTTGATAGATGTAATGCGCGGGGTCCATGAAAGAGTATCAGTGAGGATCACCCCAAAATAAGTGACTTGCTCAGCCCAGGGCAGAACAGATCCACAAAACTGTAGATTTTTCATAATTATGTTGCTTCTGGTGAAGATTGCAGTAACTATCTTGTTAACATTCCCTTGCATTTTCCATTGGGTTAGCCAGGTCTCCAGTGCCTGAAAATGCTCTTGAAATCGTTGAATTACTGACAGATACACTTTGGGCAAGGATCGCTGTATCATTAGCGTACATTGCTAGTGTAGTACTGGGTGTACGAGGAATGTCGTTCACATATATGTAAAATATTAGTAGTAGTAGTAGTAGTAACGGAGGACGTGGGCACCATCCCTCCACCGTTAAAGTTAACCGGTAATAGCACCACGTCCGCCCTTATCTAGAGTTGACCATTTGGAGCCTCGTGGAGGTCTCGCACAGAGTGCATGTTAAATAGTGTGGGTCCTAAAAGTAACCCTTGTGGAACGCCAACAGAAATATCTCGGCGTGTGGAGTAGGTATTAGAAAGGAGAGCGACAAAGTGCCTACTTATTAGGTAGGATTTAATCATGTGTGCTATGTAATCTGGGGAGCCCAGATTTTATATACATGAAAACGTCCAACCAGACAAGATCGAAGGTCTTGGCTATATCGAGGAATTAGTCCGCCAGTAACCTTCTTGGTTTAGAGACCCTCAGAAATATGCTCGACTACCCTGTAGAGTTGATGCGTCATGGACAGATTACTCCGAAATCCAGATTGTTGGGGAATAATAATTATCTTTTCCTCCCGCTGATACCGGGCATATTTCACTATGACCGTTTCCATAAGCTTGCTAAGACAGGGTAGTAGACAGATTCAGGATTAGAGCAGGTTTATTCGACTTGAGAATAGGCGTAACAGACGCGGTCTTCTAGTCAGATGGAAAATATTGCAATCGTAGTGCAAAACTGAAGATTTTGGTTATTAAAAACCCATTTTTAGTGGGAAGTGCTTCAACATCTCGTTCGTCACTTGGTCCATACCAGGACTTTTCTTGGGTTTAGTTTTTTTATGAAGCCAAGTACTTCCGATGGACGGACTAAAACTATGTTGTTGAGAGTGGATTTGTTGAATACCTGTCATAAAAGTCCGAGACTGTGCGTTCTGTTGTTGCGTCGTGAATGTTGTTAATGCAAAACTTAGATTCCGGGTGCACAGCTAAAAGTTCTACGTTCTCAGTTTCGGTGCAATGAATCCTGTCGGGGCTTTTATGGGGCGGAATATTATTGTTGCATCTTTTATACCTAGAAACTGCTTATCAAACGGAATAATCATCCGTAAAAAGTGATTCAAGCTATTTAGTCCAGTTGAATTGTGCTTGTGTTCTGAAACGACACCTAACTGTATCCAGTCTATTGAGTCCTGATTTATCATCTGAATGTCTGGTGCGTTGAGAGGTCCTTCTTACTACATTTCTCCTTTTAACAAGTTGTTTTAGCTCCCAACTTCCAGCAGGATTTGGCTGCGAGAATTCCTTGGAAATATTTTTACGGGCAGAGGCAATAGCATTCGTGAATTCATTAATCAAGCTATCAATGTTACTCTCCGAATGTCGTTTTGGTAAGGTAAAATGAATTTTTAGAGCTTTCGCCTAAACACCCAGTAAGTGGTAACGGCTCTCTTGTGTGGTGTGATATAATAGCTGACGTCCATGATAATTCTGACCGGGTTATGTCAAGAAGACATATTCCATATACATTCATCCAGCACAGAAATATCCAGTGGATCACTGGTATTTCTGAGCAGGAAGAAGTCTATAATACCAAAGGACCCAGTACTATGGCGTGTTGAGATGCGTGGAACTTCAATGCGTAAAACAGCCGAGTTAGTCAAGTGACCATATTTCTAATTATTTCTAATTTATTAATATTCTAATTTATTATTCTAATTTATTAATATTCAATTTGTATTTTCTTGTACATGTTGATGATATGATGATGTTAGTAGTGGTAAAGCAGAGATTCTGCGTCAGCGCGTCAGGGGCGTGGCCAAAATGTAAAAATGTCTTTTTCTTAAACAGAGGGCAGCATGCTCATATCTCCAAAATTAAGATGCAGCAAAATTCCTCTTGATCCGTTGCCGATTTTGAAAAAAAAAACTAAATTCACCGAAGCAGCAGGAGACATACAACTTAACCAGCAGCCTGAAATAACTCACCTCAACTCGTGACGTCATTGGCTATGCCCTACGTTGTGAGGTCATTGTCGACGTTGCTGTAACAGCGCTAGCAACGCCTTCTGTGTGACGTCATTGTCCACGCCCCTGCTCAGCTCTCGCACAATCCCTATTTTCTACTACTGACGTTGTCTAAACATACGTACATGCATATATATAGATATAAATATAAATATAGATATATACACATACAGATATAGGTATATGTATATAGATGATGTTCTTGTACATGTTGTGTGCATATTCTTTATACATTCTTACACGTGTTATAGACTAGTAGGCCTTAAATTCTCCAACACAGGCGTTCCACACTAGTACCCCCGAAGTAATTTTAGGCTCCCGCGAGTGCATTTCAATTGAGCATGTATTGTAAATACAAAACTGGAATAACGGAACAGAAAAACAATAACTTAATTAATTTAAAATGAATATAAATCTTTTCCACCCATTTGAAGCTATAGCGTTTATATACTTTTCTTCGTACTTGTCAGAAAGTAAATACGCCCAGTTACGAATTTTTACACAAGCAATAATGTCTTGATTCCGAAGGGCCCGTGTTCGAATCCCGGAGAAGGCACAGATGTAACCTGTCTGTCCTGCCATAGGAGGCAAAGGTGGCCCACCTATTAGGTGCCTCCATAATAGAGACCACCGCATCTGGTCCTAGGAATGGCCGACGCCGGCATAGGCAGGTGCCCGCCATTAGAAAAAAATAATAATAATATCTTTGTTTGGAGATACATTTGCAGTCGTCTGCAAATTTAAGAAAATTTTTACATTAAATCGAATTCCTGAAAACCGAACTGACATATTTTAATGAAATTTGGTATAAATTTACGTTATAACAGAAAAAGCGACGTAACAGTCAGAAGTCATTTTGTATACCCATTGTTATCAGTAATTCTCATAGTGCTGTCATGTCTAAAATCCACAAATATGGGCTGTGAAAGGGGACATGGTTCCCTTTCCCAGCCAAACAGGTCGTGCAGTGTGATAGCATACTGGACAGGAGGGGTACCTGTGGGAGTCGATCGCACTTCTGCAGTTTTCATCTCGAGGTTTGTCATTGGAGGGGGATGTCGAGATGAAATTGCCCTCCGAAGAATGTCCTATTCTTTGTAGAGTTAGGGTCACTATATCTGGCTGCCTAGCCCATGCGGCGAATAACCTCACATTCTAGTTAAACGTAGACCAGTTGAGCTGTGAATGGTCCGTAGTGGTCCAGTGAGTTGGCCTGCCCAATTTTCAGACCTATCGTGTATGGATTACGTTTTCTGGAGATATATGAAAGCCTTTGTCTGCGAAACCCCTGTTGAGAGCGCCAAAGACCTTATGACACGCATCGTTACAACTGCCGGGGAAATACAAGACACTTCTGGAACATATGACAATGTTCAAACTTCCAGACAGGGAAAGATGCGAAGCATGCATCACATGTGGGGATAGGCCATTCGCACACCTCCTTTAATATGAGTTGTATTTCACTTTTGTTGCTTTTGTTTTTATGTTAATCTAACAGTGAGTAATAAATACCTTTTTCCCTCCTTTTTGTATTCTTTCTTTTCGTTGTGTTTCATGTCCAAAAAAATGTGAAATGAAGCTTCGAAAGAGCAGAAGGCGACTGAATAGGTGCGGGTGTTCTCAAAAACTCGCGTCTGTTCAATCCCTCTACGGCGTCAAGAAGGAGCTTCTGACCCAGTATTCCTATGTGATTCTGAGTCCTTAATTGTTCTTGAAGTTTGTAATATCTCAGCTTTAACACCTATATGTATACATGTTTACCTGAACATGCGCGAATTTTGCATTTTGAGTCTCAAACTACGAACTCTCAAGAAATAAATTTCATAGAAAAATTTGTCCCTTATGAAAGAGAAAGAAGGAATCCAGAATAAAACAATGGCATAACGAATTACACCCCTTATGAAGAGTTCCCATTTTTCTTTAAAATTTATTCTGTGCTCTGTCATAAGAGTGCGGATGGTCCGTTTCAAGGGGTCTTCAGTTTATAGACAATTCTTGGTGCCT